CCCCGGTGGGGGTTCAGGGAAGTGTGGGGGTTCAGGGAGGTGCGTGGGCCCTCCAGGCGATTGCGAGTGTGTTGTTACCTGCAGTGTCTCAGCGTCCTAACCAACCCTGGGTCTGTTTCTTGCTGCTGAAGGAACAGATAGCGAAGGACCTGCTGTCGGGAGAGGAAGAGACGCAGTCGTCCGCCGACGACCTCACCCCGTCCGTAACCGCCCACGCAGCCGCAGCCCTGTTCCCCAACCAGAGTGGACGTAGGTGCCCACCATCTGGCGGGAAGGGGCCACATGACTGGGCTGAGTCCCTCGGAAGGGGCTGGTGTTTGAGCTGAGGGTGGAGAGGCTGCCACCTCTGGGCCCCATTGGGCCCAGTGTCAAGCTCCTTGGTGCCTGGGCTCCGCCTCCTTGGCTGGGGTCGCGGTACGGGGCGGTGGTGCTTGGGCCTTGCAGCAGGAGGAGACCTTTCTCCTTGGGGCGCCAAAGACGGTCTCTTGTCACCACCTGGCCAGGCTGTGCGTGGGGGGTTGCTGCTGCCTGGGGTCAGACAGATTGAGTAGGGGTGGAGCTCAGGGCTGCTTTCCCCAGAAGGGGTGCGGGTTACTGTGTTGTGGAAGCCTGGGGTCTGCTCATGCTAAGAGCAGTGGCGGAGCCTGGGTTGGGGTCACGCCTTCCTGACACCTGCCCCCTTCCCCACAGCTCGCTTCCTGGCCGGCGGAGACAGAGAGCCCAGTTCCTCCACCTCCTCCAACTCTCCCACCTCCTCGGACACGGACGAGGACTCACTTCCTGCCAACAAATGTAAAAAGGTGTGTGGTCTGGGGTGCCTGTCCCTCTACTGGGCGCCCTCCTGAGAGAGGCCTTGGCCCTGGGCCCCCACACTGGAAACTGGGAACCAAGGCGATTGGCCCTCTGGCCTGCAGCGGCTGGGGGGTCAGGCGTCCTGTTTCTGACCCTCAGTGGCCTCTGTCTTCACAGGAGATCATGGTGGGCCCGCAGTTCCAGGCTGACCTCAGCAGCCTGCACCTGAGCAGGCACGGGGAGAAGAGTAAGTGGCAGCCGGGCACCCTCCACCTGCACAGCCTCCAGCATGGCCCGGTGTATAGGCCGTGGAGCCCTGCCGTGGCTCTCGGTTTTCTCAGAAAGTCTTGATTTTATTTTTGTTTGGAAATGGTTTTCAGTGGCATAAGTTTAGGTTTGCCCTTTGAGTGCGTCGCAGGGCTTATTCCAGCGTCCCTGTCCTGTTTTTGTAAAAAGCCAGCCATTGGCTTTGTTGTCTTTGGAGACACTGTGCTGCCTCAGTAAAAACACACACAGCCCTTTATTCCTGCCTGTCGTGTGCTTGGGGATATGCAGCGTGTACGTGCGTGTCCTGGGTCCCCGGCTCTCTGAGAATGTCCTTCGTCGGTCCTGAACAACCCTCCCTTGGCTGCTTCTGGGGCTCACTTGTACGTGTGCTGGACCCGCTGCCATTGAATGTGGCTGGAGGCCTCCGTCCGGATTCGTGCACTGAGCGGGATTCGGCTTTACTTAGCCTTTGTCTCTCCTTTTCTTGCCTAGCCCACCCCTGGACCCAAGCGGTGTGTTTTCTAGAACACCTGTTTCGCTTTGTTGAGATCTCACCTGTCGACGTCCTCTTCTCTGTCTGCCTCAGCCCTCTTCCGCTCTGCTCCTTTGAGCGCCCCCTTCGCAGTTGCTTTCCTGCCCTTGTCTGCTGTGTGAGGGCTAGCTGTGTCTCCAGAGACGCCTGGCCTGGCGATGCTCACTCGGGTGGCTGGGTGTGTGGGGCTCATTGGACTGAGCCGAGCTGGGGCCAGCCGGAGCAGGAGTGCAGGAACTTTGAGCACTGGGCGGATGTGCCCTGTGGCCTCCCTTCACACCCCTTGCCCCTGCCCGATCCCTCCCGAGGCCCTGCCAGTCAGCGCTGTGCTGCTACACAGTGGGCCCTCTGCAGACGTCGCCCTGCACCCCCTGCTCTCAGAGCCCTGGCAGCCTGCTTTCCTGGGCAGAGCCAGCGCCAGCCTGGGTGGCACATCTCACCAACCCAGGGTCTGGAGGAGGTGGTGTGGGGCATGCATATAACAGCGCGTGCACCACCCCCACCCACCCCTTCCCAAGGGGCTCTGGGGTCAGCAAGAGGGAGTATGATCATGTGCCACCTGGGCAAGTCCCGGGTGTGACATCCCCTTCCCTCGCCCCTGCAGTTTACGAGAACGAAGACCAGCTGCTCTGGGACCCCCATGTCCTGCCTGAGAGGGAGGTGGAGGAGTTTCTGTATCGTGCCCTGACGCGGAGGTGGGACGAGGCATCCGGGCCCCAACTCCCGGATGGGGAGTCGGTGAAGGACAGCGAGCAGGTGGGGCCCTCAGAGGGGGCCACGGGGACTGGAGTCGCCACACGGCCTGCTGGGCGCCTGCCGGGAGCTCCAGCCTCGGGGTGGGGGTGGGCGCCACCGTGGGGCTGAGCAGCGAGTCTGCCGACCCCCAGGCACTGTACGAGCTGGTGCGCTGCAGTTTCAACGCCGAGGAGGCCCTGCGTAGGCTGCGCTTCAACGTGAAGGTGGTCCGAGGTAGGCCCTCCAGCCTCTACCCAGGCGCCCTTGCTCCACCTCTCTCTGCTCTGCTCCTCGACCCCCACCTTGCTCTTACCCAGCCCTTCCCACCCAAGCCCTCTGCTGAGGTGCCTTTGCCCTGCTCCTTCCACCCCTCCTCCTCCCACTCATCTCTGTACCCACGCCCTCGCCCCCCTGGCCCCACCCCGTTCCTAGCGCGTGTCTTTTCCGCAGAAGGCGTGTGCGCCTGGAGTGAGGAGGAGTGCAGGAATTTCGAGCACGGCTTCCGCGTGCACGGCAAGAACTTCCACCTGATCCAGGCCAACAAGGTGGGTGCTGGGCACGTGGCGCAGGCGCGGCAGCCTGAGGGTGGGACTGGGTCGGCTCCCAGGCTCCCATGACTCGCCTGCCTGTCACAGGTGCGCACGCGGTCGGTGGGCGAGTGTGTGGAGTACTACTACCTGTGGAAGAAGTCGGAACGCTTTGACTACTTCACGCAGCAGACGCGCCTGGGCCGGAGGAAGTACGTCCCGTCCGGAACCACGTGCGTGCAGCCCACCTGCCCAGCCCTGGCTCCTGGCTCCGCCTCTGCCGCTGCCTCTCCTCCTGGCCCCACACTCCGCCCCCGTCTGCTCAGCCCCAGCCCCAGCCCTGCCTAGTCCACCCCCTCTTCTAGCCAGTCCCCAGCTGCTGCCCGGCCTATCCTGGCCAGCCTCTGCCCTGGAGCTCAGTCTACCCGTTACCCTCTGCTGCCACCCATCAGCCTCTACCCTCTGCCCAGCTTCTGCTCCCCACCCCCATGCCTTCCCAGGGCTTCCGCCTCTCACCAGGCCCTCTCCCAGCAGGGATGGGGACCAGGACCTGGATGGTGGGGACCCTGACAGCTCCGGCCGTCCCCGCTCCGCACCGCCCGTGCCTTCCACCGGTGACAACTTGGGCCCTGAGCAGGATGCCCTGGGGGCGCTGTGCACAGGTGAGGATCCTGCCCCATCCATCGACCCCCTCAGCTGCGGCCCTGGCCACGCTCCGGCTGCACCTCAGCCGCCTTCCTCCTGCAGAGCCTCTGGTGGAGGATGGCGCTCCCCGAAGCCCCATCGGCCTTGGTGAGCCTGAAGCGGGCGGTCTTCGTACCATGGAGGCAGGGCCCCGCCCTTTCCAGCCTCTGGACAAGCCGGCCGTTGGGCTGCTCCCCCCACCGCCCTCGTCCCTGGCCGACCCGGCCTTCTACCCAGCAGCCTCTGCTGCCCGGGAAGCCGGCGCCCACCCCCGGCTGGCGGTGGATGTGGCCCTGCCCGCAGCCCTCCCCGAGGGCCTGCCCCTCCTCCCTGCCCACTCGGGTCTGGGCGGGGACCCCGCCGCACAGGTGGCCCTGTCTGTCGCAGAGTTCGGGCTCATCGGCCTTGGGGACGTCAACCCTTTCCTGGCCCCACGCCCCGCATGTCCTGCGGGGCTGCACCCGGAGCCGCTGTCACAGTGAGTGTTGCTGCAGCAGGCCTCTCGGGATTGGGTGGGGGCGGGGGCAGCCTGGGCATTTGCTCTTTGCTGTTCCCCAGGCAGCTTAGCCCTGGGGGGGACACTCACTGTGCCCCCGGAGCAGGGCTGGCTCACATCTCCACTCTCCTTCCTGCAGCTGTAATGTGATGACCTGTTGATTCCTGATGCCCCGGCGCCTCAGCCGGTCGCCACCAGGAACCTCTCCCGGACTAGACCCCCGGCCTGCTCAGTCCGCTGCCCGAACGACCCCTTCCCAAGGGCCGCCAGTGATGCCCCCTCTGCCTCGGGGCTTTCGGGATGGCTTGAGGGGACAGGGCTGCGGGTGCCCCGCACCTGGCCTCCGCTAGCAGAGGGACGAACGGGCCTGCCACCCCCGACGGCCGTCGCCGCCTCCCGCCTCCCCGGGGCCGGGCGGACAGCTGCAACTCAGTGCCAAACTGTGGGGGCATGGAGCCATATACCTCGCTGCCCGGCCCCAGCCCGCCCGCCAGCCACTTCAGGAAAAGCCGCACTTTACCCCCTTCTCCTCTCTCCCTTCTCTGCCTCCCAGCCCCCGTGATGGGCGGGGCCTCAGCTAAGCTGGCCAGGGCTGAGGAGGTAGCCCCTTTCTCCCCACCCTCCCGTGTGTCCCGGGCCTCCTTTCTGTTGGACGCCCCCTCGAGATGGCCGGGCGACTTGTCCGCCTTCTCCTTGGTTTTATTTATGTTTTCTCGTTGGAGCGGGTACACGGCAGGCGCCCCGCCTCCAGGGTCGTCAGGGGTCTCCCTTTGCTCGAGCTCCTCCCTCCAGAGTCGGACTTGACCCCCTTCCCAAGGACCACACTGTGAAGTGACGACAACTGCCTTGATACGCCCTCCTCCCCTTTTATTTATTAAACTGGATTTGAACCCAGTGGTGCTGCTTGCAGACAGCCGTGGGGGTCCCCGGGCGCGGGAGCACCCTGTACCTGGCATAGTGGGAGCAGGGCCTTCGGAACACATCCTGTCCACTGACATTTCCCTACGTGGTCAGGGTGCCCAGCGGTCACCTAGCTGTCAGCTTTCACCAAATACGTCAGCTTGTTTGGCTGGCTTTATCTGACCGTGTTGAAGACGGTTTTCTGTCCAGTTTCCACCAGTTGGGTGTTTAGGGTTCATTGAGCTGCCCAGGTGTCTTACTTTTTGTTTTTAGTCTGTTTAACATGATGGGGTTTCAGAAAGTACATGGAAAATCCCATGATTTCTTTCTCATCGTTGACTCCACCCACCTCCCCACTCAAACCCAGGCTCACTCCGGTCCAGTAGATGCTGACGCACAGTGGCCCTATAGGACGGTAGCTAGAACTGCCCCTGTGGATTTCTGAGACTAACTTTACAAGGGTAGTGGGCTTCGAACTGCTGACCTTGTTGAATGCAGCCAGTGTGTAACCACTGCTACACCACGGCTGTGTGTCAGGCTACTTGAGTTTGCCATGCTCACCAGGGCTCTCCGTGGTTTGCATTTTGTTTTCGTTGATTGGGGATCACAGGACACTGCCGTTGGCTCTGAACCTGCCCATCTGCTTCCATCCATCGTGTGTTCATCTCAGCCTTCCTAGTGGTCTGCTAGTTGGGGTCACCTTTTCATGGCTCCCTGTCTCTTATTAAACATGTGACACTGCAGCCAATGTGTCTGCAATGGACGTCATGGCCACTTATGTGGCGATGGCGGGGCCAGGAGCTGCAGTCAATCCCCCC